AATATTGGTGGGTTTACAAGGCTTAGATTCACTAGACTAATGTCTGGAATGGGTTAGTTGTCTTATGAAGTTATCATGGATGGGTAGAAATGCAGGGTAATCAGATCAGCCATGTTTGTCTCAAAAGAACCAAGGGCTGTACTCTAGCTCTTACTCCACATCTTAGTAACTTATGACAATCAATTCAAACTAGCTTTTAATTCCAGATTTATTAATTTATTGCTTTCAAATTTCACCATCCATCATAATGGGATTATAACCTTTGTTCCATACAGCATTAACTTGAGTTTTTTTTTCTTTATTCATTCATGGGATGAGGGCATTGCTGGCTAGGCAGCATTTATTACCCATCCCCAATAGCCCAGAGGTCAGTTAAGAGACAATCACATTGCTGTGGGTCTGGAGTCACATGTAGGCCAGACGAGGCAAGGATGGCAGTTTCCTTCCCTAACGGACATTAGTGAACCAGATGGATTTTTCCGGATCATCGATAATGGATTCATGGTCATCACTAGATTCTTAATTCCAGATATTTAGTGAATTCAAATTCCGCCATCTGCCATGATGGAATTCGAACTCAGGTCCCCAGAACATTATCTGGGTCTCTGGAATAATAGTCCAGCGATAATACCACTAGGTCATTGCCTTCCCCTTCTGAATTACTAGTCTAAACACACGACTGTCAGCTCACCAACTCCTGATCAAGTGTTTATTCATCCAGAATACGATTAAAGTTATTGCCAAATTTGCTTTGTATTATTTAACATTCATGAGTTTTTTTTTAAAAAAATGGACCAAATTCCACTTCTGTGTCCATGACACCAGTTGGTTAAATTTGGTCATGGTGTAATTTTCTGCAGAGTTCGAGTTAGGTTTTGTGTTCTAACTTGGATACCTTTGTAAAGCAGTGTCTCTGATTTCACCACATTCAGACTGAAAAATCTGATCTTTTCTAGTCTTTCATAATGGACTCTACAATCATGAAGGATTGACATCATGGTGCTACTCTGCACAGCTTCAAGGACTTAGAATATTTTCCTTGTGTCTCAATGACATGGACCAAGTGCAGTATCAAGACATTACAATTACGAAGACTCCCACCACAGGCCAAGCACTGGGAAATGGGATTAGGATAGATAGATATTTGATGACTAGTGTGGACAGGATGGGTCACAATGAGTTTGTAAAAGCTCTGACACTCCAAGATCTCTCTCAGTCTCTTTCCTGGTTATTCTAATATAATTCACCAAGTACAACTCAATTTTTCCCTTTAAATTAGCTTTCCTATTTAAAGTTGAGTTGTAAATAAATATGTTCTATTTAAAATTACACCAGCACCGTTTTAATCATTAACTGTGCTCAATACCTTGAACTTGGTAGGGAGTTCTCTCCTTTCTAACATGATGTTTTACTTTGCTTCTTTACTTTCCCCTGTAATTTTTAATTTATAACAAAATTGGGTATTTTCAATATATTTGGAGAAACCACGTTTAAGCATGCAATTTCCCCCAGCCCAAAAAAAAGCACAGATCTACAAAAAGCACAAAGAACATAAGAACTATCTAATTTTTGCTACCTATGAACAGTATGATAGACTACAATAGTTCTGATGTTACCACATCCTTTTTATTAAGCTACATTCCACTCTCAATTGTTGCTCGAATACAATCAATGCCTGTCAGGTCAGTACTAAACTCAGGGCTTCTCAATCAGAACCTAATCAGTAAAGCAAAATGACCTTATTTTCTCCCCACAATGAAATTGGGATAACCTTTGTACGTACTGAAAAAAATGGCCATTTGTACCTTTCAAGTATGTTACACCACCTGATTTATTCAATGATTATTTACAAATAGTTTAATGTGATCAGTGGAAAACCAAATTACAATTCAATTGTAGCAGATAAATGTGCAAGTAAACTTGCTATTCTTTGGAAATTAATATCTGAAGCATCATGTAAGCACAGGCTCACTTTCATACAAGTAGAAGTTACATTTCTATTAAATATTAAAGACTTACAACAAAGTATAATAATCATTAAGTGGAATTATTGGAGCATCAAGAATTGAAAACAGCAGAAAATATTAACTCAACTATGCAGCAATGAAGTCCAATTGTGTCAAAACACTGTGCGGAAGCAAACTTTTTCAGGCTTGCATACCAGCAGTGGGAGTAGCATGCGAGGCAACAGAGGAAAGGGGCAAAGAAAAAGGAAACCAAAAAGAGAAATACTAAAAGCCCCAAAAAGAGACAGCAAGACAACTGCCTCCCAGCTGTAACCTCAAGAGGTCAAAAGGCAAGGCAGGGCTAGCCATAATGGCTCTTATGCCTCTTAGTACTCACCAAGTGAAGCAAAGCCTCTAACAGGGCTTGTATCTCGACTGCTCTCACGGCTCGTATCGCGGCTGCATCCCTGACTCATACTTGGTCGAGGGATACGGCTGCTCCGTGCTAGCATGGGTTGAGAAGAGTGGTAAAAATGTGAAGTTCATTACAACAGCATTTTAAGTGAAAGGTTCCACAATATTCATATTGTTAACATCCAACGTCTGACTATTTTAAACACGAGCAAGAGTCGTCATACTGCCAATAACCACTTCTTTAAAACACTATAAAAGGATCAGGTAGAAGAAAAGAATGACGAAATATTGATAGTTTGGCTTCAATTTAATGAGAAGCATTCCCTTTCCCCTCATTTTGGTAGGAGATCTAAGAAATGTAATCATGCTTTTTTTTAAAACTAATATACCCCATTACTTATAATGTCATCTTAACATTTCATAATAAACTAATATTGGTAAGCCAGTTCAGTGACAAAACTTCAAAAGCAGCACCATGTGGCAATGGAACACAAGGACTGCACTGCACTGCACTGCACAATGGGAAATGAACAGATCAGCTGTTTTCATGCAGGCAAGGAAAAGAGAAACAACAAAATAAATCCAAGCATAGTTTTGTGAAGAGTAGATGGGAAAGGTGGTGGTAGCTGTCAGTGGCTTCAGACCAAACATACAGCAAGTGGTGGATGGCCAAACATGTAACAAATAGACTGCTGACAAGGTAACTTGCATCTTCTCAGCTGCAAGGCACTTGATCCTGTAGCACTTTAGAGGCAGGAGGAAAATGAACAAAGTGAGAAAATTTGAGCTTGTTTATTTCAGTAGATGGCAAATTGGTCTTTTTTTTTTTTAGGAAACTAAGTAACCAATAAGGAATAGGGAAATTCAAAGTAGCACTGGCCATTCCCATTCAAAAGGAAGTTGTCCAACATACCACCACTGAAAAGAAACTAAACAACTTCTCAAAATGAAATAGTTCTTCCAGGAGTGATCTATTGTTAGTACTAATTTGGATACAGTCTGCTTATTTATACATTACTCAGTATTTCACAATGAGACACACTGAAGCATAAACCAGGTCCAAAATTCGAATCCCATACTCTACTAGGTTAGCCAATATCAAATGATCAATATTTGTGCTGCGCCAATCAGTTTCAGCAACGACGGATAAAAGAATAAAAGAAATTTCCTTACCATTATCCTTCAGAAATAGGTGAGAAGTGTACACAAATTAATTGATTCCAATTCTAGAATCTTATATACAAGATTGTATATCACCAATGGCTGCTTTGGCAAGGTGCAGGAGAGCTGCTAATGCCAGAGGAGCAAATTCTGTTTTGGATTCCCCTTCGTTTTAAGATAGAAGGTAGGGGGGAAAAGAGGGCTTTTAGGTTCAAAATGAATAATTTTTAACGAATCAAAATTACTCAAATTTGGACTCAGCATGAATAATTCTATTTCTTTTCTTGAAATCAATGCTCTTCCATGAGTTGGAGTACACTTAGATGTTAAAAAATTTGATTTTTAAGTTATTTGTTATAGCTGAGGATTAGAAATTGTTTCACATTTCCAAACATGCTGACTTTTACACAACAAATCAAATAAGATTATGGAAATACATGAACTTTGTGCGAACTATTTCAAATCATGCTTTAATGCCAATTTACAGACCAAGCACCTCCTCTTACTCTTTTAAGAGACTGATGATTGATGATAGGGTCAAATTGCAATTACTGATGCCTAATAAACTGATAAGTGACAGCACATATACCATAGGAACCTTTGTTTTGCGCTGATGAGGACAAAAGGAGGGAAGGGATGATTTTTCTTGAAGGTTAAATCAATAAAAAGGATTAGCTCTCACCAAAGAAAGTTTTATCATAACGTTGCATTACATTTTAGTCATTTTAAATCAGATACTGGCATTGTAAGTTTTGCACATATTTCAATACTGCAAAATGAGCTGAAATATTGGATTCCACGAGCTCCAATATATCTCAACATTAAATCAGATAGACTTTATAACTCACACTGGAGAAAACAAGGTAGAAACATATTTTATTACTATACAAAGGTGCTTCAAGAGTCATAAAAAGCACAGTGTTGTGCAATATATAAATTAAGCCCAATCATTACAAAGTAAAGAAGACAAGGTCAACTGTACAGAACTAATCTTGTCAATAGAGTCCAAAAATAAAATTATATATTTTTGTCATTTTTCCTCATGAACAATTTTATTTGCACGTACACATTAGATACCCGCCAACCAACAGTAGTTAATTTGTGGTGCTTCATATGAAGAGGAGTCAAGAACCAGTCGAATCTTCTGATGGAGCAGGGATATGGGGTGGGAAGTATTTAGAACTAGATGCACAGATGCAATTCAGCACCTATTTTAAAATCATGCATTCAGCTGTATTTTTAAGCTTTTATTATGACTTCCTATGTCAGTCCTAATAATGAAAATTGCCTGTGTAAACTTGCTATGCAGTAATAACACCTTCCTGTTTATGACGAGAAGCAGGATGACAACAGTGTAATTACAGCAGTAATATTCATTCATGTGCCAATGTAAATCCATCTTCCATTCATAATTAAGAGACAAATTCAGTTTAGAAGGCACATTAGTAAACAACTGTGATCTGGATAATTAAGTCTTACCCAAGCCCAATCTGTTGGGGCTGGCTTCCCTACTGCACCCCTGGCTGCGAGGGATTTTGCTGCGTTTTTCAGATGTTTGAGGTACAACAGATACTCTCTGTGGTCCACTACTCATGCCGGAGTACGTGCTACTAAGAAGTTTTCCAGGCGAACTGGATCTGCTTCCGGCTGTAAAAATAAGCAACAAAAAGCTAGTTTAAATGAGACATCTCGAAAAGTAAAATTAAGTTGGCAGTGGCAGCGGTGCTGGAGAAAATTATTGGTGGTAAAAATTAATAGCTGCTAGAAGTCACCAAATTTATTATCTTATAGTGAAACTTAAATAGAACAAGCTTTTAAAAATAATTATGAGCAAAACTTGCACTTTGAAACCTGTAAAACACTACATTAAATTATCTCAGCACAAACCTCAAGAATGAAATCTCTGTGGGTTAACCAAGGTCAGGATAACGATTTTTTTTTTTGAGTATAAGCTTTAAAAAGTTATCAATTCATAATTAATATTCAATTTCTGAATTTAATGCCTTCAGTCTTTAATCAGCTACTGCACACATTTAAAAGGCCAACAGGAAAGTATTAATGGTTCCAAATCTCATGAAAAAGGACCCAGAAGTACAACTCAAGAGGTTAAGTGGTTTACAGGAGCAAAAAAAAACTCAGTTTCTAAGCAAGGAAATATTGTACGTTAATATGACCTAATTACAATGACAAATGAAAGTATTCATTTTTCAGCAGGTTAAATTTACTCTTGTAGGTGAAGAGGAACCTTACCGCCTGCAGGATTAGCTGATCTGGATCCTGAGCATGGAAGCAGGTAAAAGGGATAGGTGCAAGAAGTTCAATGGAAAGATTAACGAAATGCATGACTACGAGAATTGTCATCACCATCACTTTAGTCAAGATTTTCCAAACATCATATAGGTCAGAGATATATATTTTAGCCTTGTTCCAGTGCTAACTGCAGAATTAAATACTTCTGTCAAGTTTATATGCATACTGACGCACAGTAGTAAAGAGGCAAGATTGCACCGCTTAAACTATTAAACTGCTAATTTGTGCACATTAAAGAGAGAGGAATCAAAGAAAAATAAACAGTTTCTCAAATAGAACAAAAATCAGCATATAGGACCCTGCATATAGATTCAGACTACTCATAAAGAAGGCATAACAATCAGGCTACCTCTATGCGACCAAAAGTGCACTTAAACGCAAGGAATAATTTTTTTGTAAAATCAATTACCACTGCATAGGAGTTAATGTTAAAATAGATGCATATTAAAAAGAGAAATCACAATGTACAATAGGTTGGCAAGAATATAACAAAATGGAACTTAATTTTATAGAATTTTATAGACAAAAACAACAGTTTAAAGTTCCTAGTGTCCAAATATTACAATCCGTAAAATTTACTAGGAAGCATTTGTTTCACTTACGTTGGGACTGAGACACTACTTTAGCTCGGCTTCGGCCTCTGGTATCAGAGGGTGTACTGGCTACGCTGGTGGTACTCCCAGCACTCTGACGTCTAGAGCGCACTCGACCTGTACACGTACACAAGCATAGTCAGTCAAAACCAGAAACTTAAAAACAGCCAATAATTACCAGTTAACTTAATATCCCTTACTCACTTCAACAAATTGAAATTAGTTCATAGTACTACTGATGGCATGAGATAAATTGAATTTTAAGCAATTTTAGAATCCCCTTTTAAAAATAAGTATCTGATTACCAAAATTAAGAAACACATTTGGTTACCCACGTCTTTATATTGTCAGAGAATATCAATACAGCTAAACTCAAGGAGGTAACAGAAAATGGTTGGTGTAAATTGCTATTTTGCCAGTGTGAAATGTGCAGTTTTGCACCACAATTGAAGTGAATATGTCTGCACAGCTGGAATCATTTACTATAAATATAGGTACATCAAACTTCCAAAGCAATTCAAATCAATACAAATACACTATGTAAAAAAGACAACAATACACCTGTAGAAAAGTGCAGCATTACAAATTTGAACAAAAATTCAATGTTTTAGTTTTTGAATACAATAAATTATTCCATTAGCCAATGTCATGCCTGTTGCCAATAAAATAGAGTTAAGCAGAATGAAATTTATTCCTAAATTGCTAAATTTAAAATGATAACATTACAAAAATGATAGGAACTTGGACCATGTACTACCTCTACTTAAGTACATAACTATTTTATGCATCATACTGTGGATACATACCACACTGAAGCCAAAGTAAAACAACTGCAATAATTTTAAATCATTTGGATTGGAATTGATTTCATTTGTTCTGATTTTCTTGAATTACATTATTTCTTACTCAGCCATGAAATAAGAATTACGTTTCCACAAAATATTTTGATTCAGTAATTCAGAAGTAATTGAAACTTCACTGACAAAATATATATGCTTTCATTGCTGCTAACGACACAAATGCATGAGAAAAGACTGGACAAGTCCATCAATAGTCTTCTCCACTAGATGGAGCAATGGACCAGATTTGCGGTCAGTGATGAAAGGGAGGCGTATGCCATTGACTGCATTTTACATTACTTTCAGAATGTTATCATAGGCTGCAGCAAGAACTTGCTCACCCAGGTGCCATGTTGTATCATTTCACAAAGGCCCCTCAGACAGCACCTTGTAAATCCACAACCACTACTACCTCAAAGGACAAGGAAAAGGGCAATATATTCTTAGGAACATCACTACTTGTAAATTCCCCTTCCAAGCCACTCACTATCCCAACTTGGAAATACATTTACTGTTCTTTGTGTTGCTGGATCAAAATCATGGAACCACACTCTCCCTAACAACACTGAATTACCTGTACTAAATAGCTGGCAGCAGTTCAAGAAGGTAGCTCACTAGCACCTTCTCAAGGATGATAAATACCATCCTAGCTAGAGAAGCCCACGACCCAGGAACAAAAAGCAGTAGTAAAGCTGCAATTCCAGTGAAGCCACTCGCTCTTCAGCATTGCAAGTTAAAGGCACACTGTCAAGGGCTGTCTTCATCTCAATGAAGCATCAGCATTTTTAAGATTTTTTTAAACTGGGTTTTTCTAATCATTTTAAGTGCTTTATTAATTCACCTTTTTATTCAAATTATATAGCCACTGTTCACCAATACTTTCCCATCCACCTCCTTCCACTTCTAAACACCTGGCGCAACATTTCCTCCAACTTAATCTGCTTTTTCCTTCCAGCTTGCAGTATCAACAGAGCCAGGGGTGCAAGAGAAATTCAACTTCCCTCTGGTATAATGGATATAATAAACTGCACTCAGGCCTTGGAAGAACAACCCTCGATAAATCACTAAATAACAGTGTGACTAGTTTACACGCTCACACATCTCAGTGGAAACCCTACAGGTTGTTCAGGGTTTGGACACAAGTTGGGTCCCCTTAAGTTATTGTTCCATTGTAATCCTAAACAGTAGTGATCTTCAATATTCACCACTATTACGATCACGAGAACAGGACTTGTAAGGGGAAAAAAGCGGCCAATTTCAGGAAAATCAGCAGGAAATTCCTTTACAAATCTGCAGTACAAGACAAGGTGACAGTAACACTGCAAGATATCAGTGGGCAAAACATTGGTCAGAAACATGCCTATTACGTTGAGGATAAAAGTAACTAGACATCCATTCTTATCACACAAACAACCTGCTCCACATAACAACTAATCTTAACAAAACAAAAGTTCACAAAGTTTAATCTGTATGTTCCCTTAATATTTTATGGATAGGGTCTTATGTCCTACCACACACGCAATTTCAAATATCACATCAAATTCTAATACATTAAATCATTTAAAAATAATTGATAACATTAATCTCATGTCCTCAGAATTATGCTTTATTAAAGTGAACAACATGAGCATTAACATTGGTAATCAAGAGTTCCCATTTCAAATATTATACTCATTGTACTCCTCTGCATTCTGTTGTTTCAATAAGTGTCATAAAGAATCTGGTAAAAAATGGCAGCATTCTAAATTTATATAGTTAAAATATTAAACAATGTATTGCAGTCAGAGCTCTTTGCAATGGAATTATTGCATAAAATATTAACAGCGAGCTTTAGGAGGTAAAAATACAACTGGCAATTTAATGTGTTGACAAAGATTCATTAGAATTCTATATTGATATTCCTGTGACCTGATTTTACAGAGAAGTCAGACTGAAAGAAAAGAAGTCTATTTGTCCTGAGCTTTAAGAACCTTAAATTAATTTGATGAGTAATGAGGGTTCCAAGAGGGCTTCAGC